AGACCGGCTACTTGCCGACGTATCGACGTTAAAACGCGCGTAAGCGAGCAACACTTGTGTTTTTCAATGAAACGAACATGAATATTCCTTGAAAGCTTTTCGCACTCGAACGTCTCTCAATTGACGAGAAATTTGTCGGAGAAACCGATCGACTTATTTAAAATATTATACAACGAACACTTGGATGTTTGTGCTTCGCGATGAAATTAAGGTTCACGTGCGTGCGACTGTAAACGAATTTAAACAAGCCTCTTCAAGACGTCTTACTTCGAGTATCCAACTATAGTAACGAGCATCTCCTTGGACGGCGGAGCAGCGCGTGCTTTCAGTAAAAGCACGTCTGATCTTCAATCTAGGAGTGTGTCTCACCTCCGTCCGCGTCTAACTAACTAAAAGGGGAAACCACGGAGCGAGAACGCGTCGTGATTATCTAAACAGCGAGATCTAGAAAGAGAGACTCTCTCGCGTCTCTGCGCGAGCCACGAGAGTTTGCGAGCTAAAGTCCAGCGATCGTCGCACTTTTAAGATTTATCAGATCTCCGTCCGATGGAAAGGATGTTCCTCTTGTGGCAACGAAAGGAACCAAACAAAACCAACCATCAAACACACACACACACACACACACACAGTGTACAATATCGCACAGTTTTCTCCACAATTCTGGAAAAGAGAGATTGCTTCTCTCTAAATTCAATATTTGAGAATGGTTACCACCGTGCTCAGTCAACTTGACCAACGTAGTAAGCTATCCTCCGTCGTGTGGAATTGCAGAATACACAAGATTCGAATGGAGAGCCCGGAGGAGAAATATTTTGCCTCCTCGAGTGACTCGAGTGTTTCGATCACACGCTGTATACTCGACTTCTTGGCATGTAAATTTATTTTCTCCCGCGATTAAGTTTGTATTTCCTTCATTCCTCGCCATTTTGCAGTCGGCGTGTTCCTCCTTAGCATCGACCAAGTCCTGTGTAAATCTAGATTTATCTATGTCCTATATGCATGTCCTTCTTATGATCGTAGCAAAATTATCTTTATTATAAATTTTACCTTCGCAATTTCTGTTAACCGAACAAAATTGCTACGATTCGTCTTCCGATGAAGTTCCAAAATGTTCCTGAAATTCGTCTGTCGAATTGCAACGATCTTCGACAAGATTGCCGTGCCATTAACCACATGAATTCATATGTTCTTCATATGTATTTTGCAACAGCTTGCCACCACTTTCCGTGCATTACAACGGTGGTGTAATGTAGCATCGATCTCTCGGAAGAACAGTAAAATGCACCTCGACGAGAAAAAATAAACAAGGGTTGAATGGCGGCGCGCAACACATGGTAAATTTTCGATCGGCCACGAGGGTCAACGATTGGTCGATCAAGTTCAGCAGCCAGTTAACCGACGGTTAGCCTGCTGTCCTGCGTCCGACTAACGACTTAATGACGGGAATTCGCCACTTACGGGGCTCCTCCTTTTCTCCTCTTTCGTCGTCCATCGTCTTTCTCCTCTGGCTCATTCGTGGGGCGAGCAGCACCGGCGTAAAACGAGCCCCAGCCAACCGAGGTCGGCCAACAACAATGTCGAAAATTGGACGGAGTCTGAAACGGGGATCTCTATTAACCTCCTGTGTACCATGCATCGTGCAATTACGCCGGAAGGAATGAATTCGTGTCGACAAATCGTGCGGCACGCTGGTCCTTTCGCGTTAAACGGGCCCGAGGATTTCTTCTTTCTCGTTGGAATGAAACGCGATATCAAAAGTCGTAGGAAAAGCGCTCGTAAGTTGTCGATTACCTCGTTGCAATCTCGGCGTTGATAAGGATCGGTGGATCACTTTCACCGTGAATCTTGTTCACAGACAAGTTTCTGTTCCCAATTTCATTACATTATTCATTCATGGACTATTCAATCATTAGGAATTAAAGTTGATACAGTTCCTGGTCGAATTAATCCATCAAATTTATTTTCAATTCGACCTGGACTATATTTTGGACAATGTTCAGAAATTTGTGGAATTAATCATAGATTTATACCAATTACATTAGAAAGAACAAATTATTTTAATTTTATTAATTTAAATATAAACAATTGAAAATTTAGTTAATATAATAACGTTGAAATGTCATTTTAAAATGAATTTAATAATTAATTTTCTATTCCACAAATAATACCAATTTATTGATTAATAATTTTTTTCTATAAATACAATTATAATATTTATAATGCTATTTTTATTAAATTCATTATTTATTATTAAATTTTATAAATTTGAATTTATAAACTTAAATAAATTTTATTATATAATTTGTTCGAAAGACTTGATCCATCAATCTATTATATTTACAAATTCCAATTTAACTGAATTTTTATATTATTATTATTAATTGTGATACGAACGAGATTTGTGGAAATTAAGTAAATTTCGAACGTTATTGGGAAACTCGGTTATCGGAACTCGTCATCTGGATGTTACAAAGATTGTAAAATTTATGGTAATAGAATTAAATTTTTACTCGGTCTGTGTCACCAATCCAACCACCAAGAGCAACAATTTTATTCAAATTTTGTTCCCCTCCGAGTTATTCCAAATTTTGTCTCGATAAGTTCGAACGACACGTTCTTCCTCTGATAGTTTTTTTCATTCACTCTCTCAAATAGTTTTTTCCAAATTCCGTAACTAATCTAATATATCATGTTCGTGGTCTAATGTCCACGAACAAGGATCTACGCGATCGTTCGGATGGGTTTGCACGTAAACGCAAAACACACGGTCCAAGACGTAACGTAGGAGGCTCAAGTAGGTTAAATCACACGGCTAACAGTAGATTACTTGATGGACGCGAAACAAGATCTCGTTTAATTCAGACAAGACCTCATTGAATTTGCGCCGGACTATCTTAGACTGTAACAAGATTCCATTGAGACTGAATGGGTACTCCATTGAATAATATTAAACTGCCGTTGAATCGAAAGAAAAATATGTCCGTTCGTCCAACGGATCACCGCCAATTGTATCGAATTGAATTTTACCTATTCGATCCGTCGTCCGGATAACTTCAATGGCAGCCTCGATAGATATCGACGAGTTCCTTCTCTCATAGATCGAGGAATCTTCTCTCTCTCTCTCTCTCTCTCTCTGCTCGTACGTTTCTATGGGTGGCTTCCCTTCTCGGAATAATAGCCGATGGCCCCTCGATTGTGCCTCATAATACTAGGAAATTACATTACGGCCAGAAGCTACCGTCTCGCGAATAATTGTTATGCACCAGCGACGCAACAGTGACGTAGCATTCGCCTCGAATGAATTCCACTCGACGTCCGTCCTCGATAATCGTCGGTTACTCGTCGCTCTGTACGAACGACGAACGACGAACGACGAACGTCCTCCCGGCTTTCAGCTTCAGCCCGGCCCGTTTTATCCGTTTCCAATTAAAGGACTTCAAAGAAACGGTTCAAATCGCTAAACCTTTCGCGAACGATTTCCCCCATCGACGAAGGCAGATCATCACTACCTGCTGTGGTATATACTTCGCGCGCCCGTTGCTCCGCTTCGAGCAGCATGAATTCTGTCCAGCAGACAGAAATGTGACTCTGTACCTTGAATTCATCGGTTCGTTCGCGACGCTGAATCGCTGACGAGTTCTTTCGCGGGCTGATGAAATCGTAGGGACCACGTTTTATCATATATTAGATTCACGTGGTTTACGTTTACTTGCACGGAAAGAATAATCGATCTACAAACGAGATCTTCCTTCCCTATCTCTCCATCTCTTCTCGTATTTTTCCTCCGATTCTCTGCCGAATATTCGTCCTAGCTGGTTGGCTAGAGTGAATTCCTTGAGTTTTGCCACCGTTCTTTTTTCTTTTTTCTTTTTTTTTTTTTCGAACGTTAAAGCTAAAGTGGGCGAGAGGCTTTGCGTGCATTTGACAGGAAACATGCTGAGCCAAGCTTTACGTAATGGAAACTGGCTTCATCCTCGCCTCTTTTCTGCTCGTTCTGGCGAGCACACTCGGTCAGAAAACACGCAGGTGACGACTCCTCCGAAGGACCGTTCTCCTCTCCGGAGAGTATTATCGGAGTTCGCGGCATTTCTTCGTTCTACGTCGGTTGCCAGTGTGTTGCGCTATCTGCGGCCTGTTTCCCCTCGTGGCCGTAGAGAAACGATTCAGAAGGAAGCTCGATACTCGGGCAAATACTCGATACCTCGCGATATCGAATTTCACGTATACTTCATCACTGCAGAATGGACGTGAGTACTTTTTCCATTGATAGCCTCTCTCTCTCTGCTATAGTTCAACTCTGGTGTCGAGTTAAATGATCGAATCGTCATAGGTACGTTTCCCGGTCAATCTTAACACTACACTGCCCGGCACCGCGATTGTAAAATAAATAGTGGTTAGCAGCCGATAGATGACGCACTTTCGCGTCATTCTCGATTCCAATTCTAATGTTCGTTCGAAACACATTAATATCATATCATACTGTCACGAAAGCAGAAAATTCTGTACACGTTCCAATGAAGGTTTTTTCCTTTTTAAAAAAGGAAATAACAGAATTCTTACATTTTCCATCTTAGTTTGTACATGAATTAATAACCTTTCCTACTATGCATTGCCAGAAACTTTAGCTTTCGCGAACCTGTTCGACGCCATAAAAGAGTTTATTGGAAATGCTTTGAATCTTACCGTGCGAAAGAAATTATCATTAAATATATGCAAATGTTTCAAAATATCATTTTTTTTTCAAATTTTTTTTAGTAAACAAATCTTTAGAACTCTTAGTACATATAACGATAATAAAGCATAATAAAGTTCTATCTCACAAAGAAAGTGCCGAGATGGTGTTAACTGTACCTTAATTTAATCACACCTTCTAAATTCAATGATCGCAATAATCCCCGAATGATCCATCATTCGCACGCCACCCACTAATTTCATCCTATACATCAAGAATTAATCTCTACTAGTGCCGACCGAGTAAGAGAAACAGAAAATAAACCAGGGTAGATAGGGCCAGACAAGCAACAATTTTCGCAAGAGAGGGAGTTCCAGTCAGAGTGAAAAACAGGAAAAACGAGAGGATTCGTTTGCAGGAGCAGAGCAAGGATAATAGTACGTCGACGCTTCAATGGCCGGATTATCTTGTCATCGGTGTAATGCTGTCGATCTCAGCCGGCATCGGGATCTACTACCGATTCACCGGAGGCAGACAACGCACGGCCGAGGTTAAGCCCTTGGAAAATTAATTTCGCCACGAACGATCGAATCGACATCGAGTCCACGCCGCGAACGCCGCGCGATCCAATATCCGTGATAAACGTGCGTCCGAACAGCGCTCTGTATGCACATACACACATACATACACAACATACATACATACATGCATGCATACCCACAGAGCTGGCACGTTCTTAGATCACGACACAGAGACCCGGGCCTCAGATTCCCTGTCTCAGATCTTTCACCGTTATCGCGCCGATCGATCCAGCTACGCGATAAATATTCCCATCGACACAAATTGCCAACTATCGAGCACGGTATTTAATTTATCGGAGGGGGGGGGGGGCTAGCCGCGAGCCAACCTCCGCCAATAACCGCAAAGACAGAACGTTAATTAACGTTGAAACGTTATTACGAATCGAGTCGTTACGGTGAGGACCGCGGGTAAAATTGTCCACTCGATCGATCGGACGATAATAACGATACAGAGGATTAATAGCCAGGTTTCCTGTGTTTTTCTTCCGCCACGGCCGAAGCCGATAGCCCGGAGGAATTTTCACTTTAGATCCGGATTCTTCTTTGTCGTTGGCCAATCAGTGGCCGAGCTAACAGATCGACATAACCGGGTTTTTCGATTGTTCTTCTGGCACGAGTGTTTTTAACTCCTTCAAAGAGAAATTAAGACTCGATTGATGTCCGCGTGTCTGCAGTTCCTTTCTCGTCGGAAATGCCTTTACTTTGTTATGGTTGGCCAAAAAGTAATTGCGTTTTTTCTTCTAATAGGTGGACGTATACGTAACTGACTTTATTCTGCGATCTGATAAATGATGGTTCAAGCTTGTTCTTAGAAAAGAAAGTACACGATCTCGTTGACGAGTTGCTTGTTCGGCAACTTCAAGATGGAACGTCTTTTGCTCACATTTTGCTCTACTAACAGGAAAAGAACGTTGCAGGCTCATAAAAAATTGTACGACGAAGTATAAAACCATGAACAATTGGTTTTGCTAAATTTGCTAAATTTCACTACTGATGTCAAGTCGTTCTTGTCGAAAAAGATCAAAAAATTGGAACTGATTGAAAGATGGCAAAACGAACGATATATTGTCTAAAAAAAAAAAAAGTCGCACGCATACACAGAAAGAACGTATTTACTTTTTGGCTACGAACGAATAAGCATGTGAGTTTGTCGCGACGCGTTGCTTCCAGCTGACTGCTTCTCGACGATCGATGAAATTTCACGTCGCCGTTAATGCTATACCATAAATGTTTCGCGATCATTACCGACAGGAGTACTTCTCAGCGAATCGATCGATGGGCGTCGTTCCCTTAGCGATCGCGTTGACGGTGTCTTTCATGTCGGCGATCACGCTGCTAGGGATCAGCGCGGAAACTTACACGCACGGCATGAAAATCGTGCAACTGTATCTGGGTGGTTTGCTCGGCACTCCGATTGTCTTGTACCTTTACCTTCCTGTCTTTGCCAAGCTCAACACCATGAGCGTCTACGAGGTATATATATATATATATATATAATTTTTCAACTCGATTTCTCTCTCGCTAACAATAAACTTAAAAACTACGCCTTCCGTGCCCTTCTAGTATTTAGAGAAACGATTCGGAGTAGGTGCACGACTAGTGACCAGCACTGCCAACTTCCTGCAGCTGCTTCTATACACCGGAGTGGTGTTGTTCGCGCCTTCGCTGGCTCTCGAAGCGACCACCGGCCTATCGGGCAACATGAGCGTGCTGCTGATCGGTTTGATTTGCACCTTCTATTCGACCGTAGGTGGTATCAAGGCCGTCCTCATCACCGACGTGTTCCAAGGGATACTGATGTTCGCCGGAGTCGCCTGCGTCCTCGCTGTCGCCGCTGACGACCTCGACGAAGGTTTGTCGAACGTGTGGAGCGTCGCCCAAGATGGCGGCCGAGCAGAATTTTTCGAGTAAGAAACGAATACGAGTTCCCGAGTTCGTGGAAGTTGGACTTTTTTTTTTTTTTTTGTTTGAAAGTTTTGTTGGTTCTTAGTTTCAGTATTGATCCAACTGTGAGACACTCCTCGTGGGCGTTGGCGATCGGTGGTACTACGATATTTCTGTCATTGTACGCGGTGAACCAGGTTCAAGTTCAGCGCCTGCTCACTGCCAAGTACGCGTTGTTGATCATTTCTGTATATAATAATCAGCTCGAGACCGGTGGCCTGGGCATTGAGTCACGCGCGACGTCTCTTCACAACGGCATTCGATCGTTCAATTTTTCGACGTCGAAAGTTGATATTCCGTGACCGTGGCGCATTAAAAGCACAGAGAGACTGTTCAGTCTTTGGTCTCGAGTACCTTTATTAACCTTAGCGATTCGAATTTCATGCAGGACCTAGAACTACTCCCTTTATCTCTCTCTTTTCTTTTCTCTATCGCTAGGAGTGTCAAAGCTTCGCAACACGCGCTTTTCCTCAGCGGTCCAATCACTATACTTCTCGGCGGTCTGACGGCCTTCTGCGGCCTGGTCCTCTACGCGGTGTACAGGTACTGCGACCCGGTCACGTCCGGCAAAATCTCCAGCTTCGACAAGATAATGCCGTACTTCGCGGCGGAGAGAATGTCACGGGTGCCAGGCGTCACCGGTCTCTTCATATCCGGTGTGTTCAGCGCTAGCCTCAGCACCATATCCGCCATGCTGAACTCTCTGTCGGCCGTTGCTTTGGAAGACTACGTGAAACCCGCGTGCCGTAAATTCGGCAAGGAGTTCCCGGAAGAGAAAGCCACGATGATCGGCAAATGTCTGGGCGTGTTGAACGGCTTCTTGTGTCTGGCAGTGGCTTTTATCGCAAAGTCGATGGGATCGTTGGTCGAGGCTGCCATCGGGATCTCCGGAGCGATCGGAGGGCCAATTCTGGGGATTTTTACGCTAGGAATGTTCGTCGAGAGAGCGAATCAAACCGGGGCTATCGTTGGCATCGTTACTGCCTTGGTCACGTGCGTCTGGGCAGCGTTTGGACACCCAAAGCCGAGAACTTCTCTTCTCTCGCTGTCTGTGGAAGGCTGCGACAATTCCACAATGTTCGTGCAACATCGAAACGCCACTTTGCCCGAAGAGTAAGTTCCTTGCCTGTTAAGAAAACGAGCTTGCTATCGGTGCTGTTTCCAACTGCGTATCGCCGAGAGTGCCGGAGTTGGAAAGTAAAACCGACGACGCTGTGAAATGGTTTTACGTGGTTGTTTTCGTAGCGAGGAAAGCCGGACGTTTAATAGGCGGAAACGGCAATTTTTCCAGAGTCAAATTAGAGAACTGTTGCTATTACTTGCGCTCTGTTATCGAGTTTGTTGGCTCCCTTTGATCCACGGACGCAATGATTACAGAGTTAAAAAAAAAAGAAAAAAAAAAGAGAGAACGTTCTCTCGTTTTGCGAATAAAAGCACAGGCCGCTTTCTTTCGCCTGTTGCCCTTTACGTGTAATGAAACTGCGTGTCCGTAATTTATGCCTCAGACGATTATAAAGAAGCAATTTCTTTCTCGACGTTTCTCTGTTCTTGAAAAAAAAGAAAGCACAGGCAGTAGCTGTTTATTAATTTCAAGGTAAAATTAATAATAAACTTTTTACGGTGTAACCTAGTTTGTAAAATCAAAAAGGATATACAATAGCTTTTCTAGAGGGTCTTTTCCTAAACCGCTCACGGTGTGAAATAAGAGCAGTTTTTTTAACACTAATTCTTTCAAAGAAATTTCACTTATTAATTTGAAATTAGAAACGTAAGAACAAGATACTTTCGACAGCATCGTTCATTTCATAAAATCAGCTAACACTGAATAGTTTCCAGAAACCATTTCTACCTCAAGAGAATAGAATTTTTTTTTCTTTCTTGAAAAACTAAAACATCTAGAATACAAAGCAGATTCTAAGAATCTTCAGCTGCACTTTTTCCCTGGATCATTTTTTCCATCCATTCAAAACTTCTAGAAACGCCTCTCGCTTCATCGAGATTCCTTTCCGGTAGGAATATTGCGCACACGTGTTGCCAGTCGTTTCTCTCTCTCTTTAGAAACGTTATTACAGCAAAAAAGCGAGTGAAAACGTCGAGCTAGAAAACGCGAACAGATCGCAAGCATCCCCGTTTTGCCGATCGTTATTTCCTCCAGGTATAATCGATATGGTGCAGACGCGACGAATTCATCGAAAACGAAAGATCACGTTATCGGAGCCAAACAGTTTCCGTTGCACCGAAAGAAAGGTGATCGATACGCAAATGCAACAGTCGAGTCTCTCTAGGATACGTGTTATCGTCGGCTATCATGGGCGTGGAACGATTCCGCTGGTAGGCTGTGGTACTCTCGGCTAAGAAGCAACGATTACTTCCCGATTTCTTTCGACTGGAGTGCCACTTTCACGAGCCGCTCGCTCCTCATCGTTTCCCACGATAGTAACTAACGTTAATTACGCGTTAATAAACCGTGATTACAGCCCCTTTTAAAAGCGGTCCCTGCCGCGTTCCAGAATTGCATACGATATTGCTTTCTCCTCTACAACACGCCTCTAACCTACTCCGTCGTGTTCACCGTCTTCTTCCTTTCCGATTTGTTCGAAACACCATCGACACTCGATACAGTTGTTCTTAAACTTCTGTCATCGTTCGCGTTCGCGTTCGAGATTTAGAGAACAATTGCAGTGCCAGTGATGGAAATATAGAGACTTTGCTTCAACACGAGGTTTTGATTAATTCCTTTATTATTTTATTTATTAGAGTTACGAGTTCTCATTTAAAGTTCGACAGCTTTCTGTGCCTCGATAGTAAATTGACACACAGATTAAATAAATCGGAGATTAAAGAATTGCCAAGGGACCTGAAACTTTCCAAGGATTTCCAAGTTTTGTCAGAAGTTTCTAATCGATATCGTTTCAATTTTCAGGCCGGTGGACGAGTCCTCGTACTTCTATCTGTATCGTATATCGTACCTGTGGTACAACCCCCTTGGACTGACGATCACGTTGATCATCGGTTACTTGACCAGCCTGATTACGAACAAGATACTTTACAAGAACGCTCGCGAGCCGGAGCCGAGCTTGTTCACTCCTCTGCTGGCCTCACGGATTCGAAGACGAAGACAGGACGCGGATAAAACTACGAGCAGTCAGTTGTTCGTCCTGCAGAACAGAAGATGAGCAACGCGGATCGATCATCATTACGAAATCACGTCGGAAGAAATTAGGAAGGAACTTGACTCGAATTGACAGCGCACAATTCCTACGAGTGTTAAGGAACGTTACGACGAAGTGAAATTCGACGTTACAACACTTCCAGTTTGCCTCGAGAACGAACGAAGTAATTTGCAAATTTATATAGAAACCTGTATTTCGCGTAATCTATCTACGGATACATGTACGTCGTATCTTTTTCTACGATCAATTCTCTGCAGAGAAGGAAAGCTTCTCTAAATAATACTCATTAGTGAAATAAACGCAGATCGAGAGTGTCACGCTGTTTCTCGTACAAGTTCAGTCAATTAGTTGACTCGCCCGTGCACGTGCACAATCGCCTGGATAATTCGATGAAACTATCAATTTGCACGAGTCGAGTTTCCTCGATCGACAGGGCGCGTGAAATCCGCCGGCTCTCTCGGCCGTCATCTTTTCCTCGTGCGGTTCATTTGCAACTTAACGAGCGACGATTGGCCTGGAAAAGGATGTGAGCTATCCACGGATGAAGCCGTCCCAGGCATCTGGGTCACAGGGACGACCGGATTACGTACGCGCGATAACTCTCGCGTTCGTATCGCTTTGGCCAAACTTTGTAAAAAACGTGGCCAGACGGTGACTCGCGTCTGGTGATTATTTTTGACCAGACAATTCGACGCGAGAGTCGGTTGCCACCCACGGCAACACGTTTAATTAACGAACCTCATTCTGCACGGCGCGTTATCACGCCACACCGTCCAATAGCACTGAAAGATGCGCAATAAAGGATAATTGATTCTTTCAGCGAGAGCGACCGGCCGTTTCATTAAATTTCACGCCGAAAAACGATCGTCCTCGCAATGGCGCGGCCGTGCGAACCGTCTCTCTTTCTCTTCGTCTTCCCTTTGCCTCTGTCGCACTGGCGTGAATATCGAACCGGACGGATAACGCGTTCCCCTCGTCGTTCCCCGTTGTTTGCGGAAGCGGAATTGTCGTAATTTATCGCGTAATTGTCTCCGATGGCACGATGGCTGGGAAAGACTTTATAATTCGTTTTAATTGCAGTTGGTTCGGCTCATTGTGTGAATTCGAGACGGATCACGCGCAAAACAGGGGGAAACGCTCCGTCACGAGACGGAGGCACACGCGAAACGCGTCGAATTTTCGTTCATGTTCGAGCAGCGAACGTGTAGCGGGGCGGCGTCACACGTGTATGGCAGAGAATTAAAAGCTCGAATTAAAAGCCCGCGGCGGTTCTGCACGTGTTGACGGAAACGTGTCGGCTGGTACACACGGCGCAACGATATTTTTTTATTCCTCCTCCCCCCCCCCCCGCGCCCCCGAATAAAAATAACAGCCGCGCCCCTCTCGCGACCAATCGATTAATTTCCTGCCGGCGTGCCGCTGTTCCCCACGCGTCATCGATCAGCGAAATATTCGTGGGACACGTGCGCACGTTCCACCACGTAAATTTCGCTGGCACCGCCAAGAAGAGGTGGCCGTTTGTTGATACTGGCGCGCCCGCGTCGCGCGAGAACGGATGACCCTTTAAAAATAAAAGGAAAGAAAAGATGAAACACGCGTGAGAACGTTCACGTATGTTCGTAGTACTCGATACGCTGGTTCGAGCGGGCCGCAATCTCTCGTTAAAGTAACGCGATCGAGACAGGGGTTGCTGCTTCGCTGCTAATGCGAGAAAACTGTTACGAAATGAAGCTTCCAATTGCTTGAAGTTTCAATTCCGTTCTGCTCTTTCGTTCCTAACCCTCCTCGAGAGTGGATACTACACTCCATTCAAGCAATCGGACTGAAAATACTCCTCGTTCTATAATATTCTCATTTACAGCTATCAAAAGTCGAAGGGACTTTCTTACTTTCGTCCGGTGCTAGTGGATACTTCGTTCCTATTTAACTGCGTTATTAAACGCTGAAACCCGAGAGGAACGTGCTTTCATTCGCTGGTATTTAATTTCCAACTTGACAGAGAAGAAATACGAAGAAAATACGCGGACTTTCCTGTTAGCTCTCTACTCCGATATCACAAGGAGGACAAGCGTTCCTCCTCGCAAATATTGCAAAAGTCACGGGTTGAAAGTAGTCGAGAAGATTCGCGAGAGAGTTCCTGAGTTTCGACGTGAAACAAACACCCGACGATCGTAGAAACGCATTTGCATTCGACCAGGTTGGTAACGAACGGTCTGATGGCGGAGCGACTACGAAGCGAACGATTCACCGTCGAATTCGCGCGACATTTGCGTGCTTATGTTGTTCGTTCGCGTATCGAAGCGTCATTTCCATGAGATTTAATTGCATACCGCGGTACCACGTTCAGCTCCGAGAGCAACTAAAAGCAGTCCGTGTTTTCTCAATAGGAGAACAACGTTGGTCGCGTTCACCAAGATCACGCGATCACGACAAGTCGAGCTATACACGCTTCCTGGACCCTGTAAATCTGCCTCCCACGAAGAAATTCAATGTGTTTCGGAAGATGCAACCTAGAAAAGCACTCTGATTGTTCGTGGAGCGTTCTTCCTCCTCGTGTGGAAAATTCTATGCGATCTCAGGAGCGTTCTTCCGGATAATACGGATGTCCGCGCAATCACCGGTTGACTTTCTCCTTTCGATCGCACCCGTTGATAGGTGAAATTGCAAAAATGTTTCTGGATCAATGGGAATTTTTTCGTCGAAATCAAATGCAATTGAATTTTTCTAATCTTTTAATACACTGTACGTTTAACATATTCCATATTCCATTTATATATTTAATATATCTTCCAATTCGAGTGCGAATCTCGTTCTGCGAAACGTGGTCAAGCTGCGACTGAACTTCTCAATTCTAAACCCAAATCTGCGAAAGATGCTGTTCGGATTGCCACAGAGGAGAGCGGGGTCTTTTAACTCTTGCTGCAACGAGCGTTCTTCCTATTAAAGAAGAGGGATTGCAAGCGCAACGAGTCGGAAGTGACTCTCGAAAGCAGATCAGAAACGAGAATCGAGAAGAGTGGCTGTGAGCGATCGAGCGATCTCGAGCAGAAGCAGCGTTGCCCAGCGTTCTCGTTGCGTGACCACGGTTGTAAAGCGGAACAATGCTTCGATCGAGGTCGATAAGTCGAACACCTCGCTGGGCGCAACAACCACGCCGACAAAGTACGAACCCGGCCGACGAACAAGCGCGGGAGGGCAATAAGATCGCGGCAGATGCGAGTATCAGCTGCACGGCCAGGGGCGGATGGGATATCGTTGCTCCTTCGCCTTTCACGAAACTCTCTGCTCGATCCATCACGAAGTCAACCGAAAAACGGGCATGCCGCTCGCTCGAGAACACTCTCCGGTATTCACTCGAGGGCGTTATTAACAGTGTTGCGCTTTACATGTTCAAACGTGGCTTTGCCCGGCGCGCTCCAATTAACGTTTTTTTTTTTTTTTTTTTTTTTTTTTTTTTTTTTTTTTTTTTTTTTT